GTTTTCATTAAGGGTATGTACTTATGGGTATATATTTTCTCTGGGTCCGCTGTTAAGTGAATTCCTAAGTATTTGTTCTATGTGTATGTTATATCTATCTCTCACCAGTGCTGTGTCTGCCGCCATGTCTGCCGCCCCACCGGTAGAGCACTAGATTTAGATATATTTGCCTTGCCTCCCGAAATTTCCCCGTAATCCCGTAGGATCACCCATAAAGTGGCCATGGATTCCGCAGGGCTCGTGAGTGTCAAGAGCACATCATCCGCGTATTCTAACACCAGAAATTCCCTACCTCCCAGCTTGACTCTGTGCACATTTGGATGTTGTCGTAGCGCCTGTAAAAGGGGTTCAAATGATATTGCTAATAGTAGGGGGGACAGTGGGCATCCCTATCTAGTGCCATTATAAAGTCAGAAAGGGCGGAAGAGGTCCCGAAAGATTTGCACTTGTGCTCGTAAATTACTATACATGGCCTTTATTAGTGTAATGTATCCCTCTGGGAATCCTAAGTGTGTCAATAAAGTAAACAGGTATGGCCACTTGAACGTATCAATGGCCTTTTCAGCATCAATAGAAATGACCAATGTAGGCGAATGTGTGGCCACCTGGCTCCATATAAGATCTATGTTTCAACAAGTATTTTTGAACAACTGTCTGTCTGGTTTGAAGCCCACTTGGTTGGCGTTAATCAGGGCTGACAAAAATGGGTTGACTCTATATGCCTGAATCTTTGCAAGGATCTTCATATCGTGGTTGATATGTGATATAGGTCGGTAGTTTTCAGGCAATAATGGGTCTTTGTCTGGTTTTGGTAGTAGTACAACGGTAGCTAAGGGCATGTTGTGGTCCGGTGTGCCCCCCTCTCTAAGTTCGTTAAATAACTTTAACAGATGAGGTATGAGCTCCTTTTGAAAGGAGTTACAGTAACTCCCATCAAACCCATCAGGTCCGGGAGCCTTATTCCTTTTCACTGCGGTAATGGCTTGGTCTATCTCCTGTTATTTCAGAAGCTAGTATGGCTATTGCCTCTTGTGATAATTTGGGTAGTCCAAGCTAGCAGGGTCCTTTTCTTACCTTTTTCTTAGCATTTTCTTAGCTTTCTCGTAGAAACTTATTTTGGAGCGAGTCATCTAAGAGCAGCTCTCGAATGGAGTGCCTCACAGCTCCCAGTCATCTAAAAGTCTCCCCATTGGGGTGCGATTGATGTTTTTGTTCTAGTGTCCTAAGTTCAGTCAGGAGTCATTCTAGCGTTTGGGACTTTTTTTTTTGCTGTGCATGAAATAACATTCGCATGTCACCAATGCCACAACAGCATTTACAAACATTTTGAAAGAATATTCTCGTTCACTGCTGTACAGCATTTAGAGTAAACACACAATTTTTAATTAACTTTACAAGCTAGGTACATGCTATAACTACATCTGTCATAATGAACTGCTTAAGTGAGTAGGAACAGTAGCTTAAAGTCAGTATTAATTTTTATGTCAAATGTCGTCGCTTTATTATCTAAACCTTTCTGAAGGTGCTGTTGCAGCGTTTTCACCTCCTGCTGGAGCCGGGCTACGGTCCTCGAGTGGTTGAGGGAGTCTTGTTCCATGGTTCCCATGCGGTTTGTTAGACCCTGTATGTCTTTCCTCATGTCAGCTACATCCACTTGGATATTCCGGCGGAGCTCCACCAGCAGCTCCCTCATTTCGGCCTCTGTCCAGCTGCGTTTTTGGTTGCACTGCCTCTTGTGTTACGGGTAAGTGTGTGACTTCATGCTCCGAGAGTCGCTCATCGGAGTCGTCGAAGTCGTCGAGGTAGGTGTCCATGGTGGGTTCCGAGGCGCCATGTGCTCGCCGCCATAGGTCCCCTATGCTGGTGCCCGGCCGGGGCTGTTCTTGTTTTGGCTTTTTGTTTTTCCTGCCCATTGATAGTCCACTATAGTGGGGCAGTCTTGGTTGCTTTTTGGGGGGTAAAATTGTTTTTTTATGCCTTTTTCTCCGTTAAATCGGGACTTTTTTTTTTCTTCTTCTTAGTCGCTAATCGAATTATAGCTCCCCTAACTACCGTCTTGTGGGCCACCCATATGATACTCACCCTCAATTCAGGGCTGTCGTTAGTGGTGAAGAACTCTAGGATCTCGGCACGGATCTGCTCCTTAATCTCTGGATCCCGTAATAAGGATGCATTAAGTTTACATGTCCATGGGGACGCAATGCATAGGTTCCCCCAAGTAATGGTCACCTCTGCGTAGTCCAATCACACAGTGGATCCTACCGATGAGCTCATAATCCGCGCTAAGCTACAGTCATTCACCAGGAAAAGGTCTACTCTGGAATACGTGCCATGTGGGGGCGAGTAAAAAGTGTAGTCCACTTAGCTCGGATGATATGCCCTCCACACGTCCACAGGCCCTGCGGCAGTCATAAACCCATGGAATAATTTGTATTGTCCTCCCCTCCCATGAGACCTAGTTCTACCTCTGTGTGCGCTCCTGTCGACGGCGGGACACGGCCCCCCATTAAAGTCACCTCCCGCTAGGATCACACCGTGTGGCAATGTCTGTAACTTAGACAGTAAATTATGCCAGAACCCGGGATCTGGTTGATTCGGTGCATATGCATTGATTAAGTGGACTGCGTGGGAGAATAAGGTGCCAGACAATATAATATATTGCCCTTCTGAATTTAGTAGGAGGACGCAATTCGCAAAAGGCAGCTATTGCATATCAAGATTGCAACTCCATTGCATTTACGATGTGTTCGGCTTCGTGAGACGTTCCATATATATGGTCCCTTAATCTAACATTAACGTGTTTAGGCAAGTGGGTCTCTTGGATGAAGGCATTGTCCGATTTCATCCTCTTCAATTCGTGGAAAAAGAGAAATGACCAATGTAGGCGAATGTGTGAGTTAGGTGCGTTAAGTACCTTTAGTTTAATGAGGTAATATTTATAGCCATGGACCCAGGACAAGTAATATGCTATCGGAGATGCCCACCTCTTCTCCCCGGGAATATTTAGCCGACAGCCATTCTAACTGTGATCTAGGAATTATCCCGTTCCCCCAACCCCAAACCCCGCCTGTGTGCCCCAGAGAAGAAAGGGAGAAGAGAAAGAAAGAGAATAGGTACACAATATGCATACCTAGAGATATTTGAAAGACATCTGTTCTTACAGATCGCCAGACCCGTACGGGGTACATGGTCCGGCACCTCCACCGTGCACAGTGCTCGTGAGAGATGTGGGTCCATGAGCCATGACCTGTACATGCTGCAATGCGACATTGTTACTCTTAAAAGCTAGCTTAAACATCGTTTAAGTTCTCGTATCGAGCACCAAGTATGATAATAAGCATAACTGCCACAACAATAATACAATAAAACAGTAAACAAATTAAATTAAATTAACATTTATTAAACCCTTGAGTGCAAGCCTCGTCCCTTCTTTGGTGCCACCCAGGTGGGTATTTTGTCTCATCCCGTCAGGGAAAGAAGGCATTGGTGGTCTAGGGAAGGGGGGATTATATGGATATGAGACCTAAGATCTGAGGCCGACATCAACCAACCTCGTTGGAGGGGCCAAAGGAAATCTCCACCTAACCTACCGATCTCCCAAGCCGGCAATGGCAATTTATCATCCATGGGAGAATAGCCCAGAGATAAGGCCTATGAAGTTACTATCTAATTTTGCACCTGTGGATCACTTGAGAGTAAGGGGTCCATTGTGGAAGGCCATTGTGCGATGGAACAAGCAGTTTCTTAAGAAGGTGCCTACTGTTACCGCACTCTTAAGGGAGGTTTCAGTATTAATGGCTCGGGGCTGAGTACACTACCCTTGTAGAGTAGTTGGGACCTATTGAAAATCGCCTGTTGAAACTGCCTGGTCAGTTTCTCTTAATAGCTATATGTGGTAGCTATTCCGGGTTTACACAGGGAGATCACCTGTAATATTCATGGGAGAGCATGTTGCTCGGGCAGGGGACACATGGAGGTTGTGGCTTCTTAACGCCAGCTAGGAGGCCACGTAGGCAGGCAAACATAGAAAATAACCCACATAATATATGTAATATTGTACATTCTCAAAAAAAAAAAAACCTACAAATAATATATTTTTGGTTTGTTTTTTGTGTGGATGCTTTCAATCTTTACCCCTCATTTCTGCGAACCATGACAGTAGTAGGGGGTTCAACCGTTTTAATTTCCAATATGTAAATCATATCTACAAGCAAACAACACTCTTCCTATATCACCGGGCCTAAGCCACAGACGTATAAGTCACATTTGACCAAGTGTTTTGATGGCTTAGGTGGTAAGTAGGCCTGTTAGTATGGTTATAAGACAGCCTAAAACACTCCAGTGTAGTACCTGCAGGCAATGTCCAGGAAGTCCTCCAGCATTACAGACGGACTCGTGCCACCAGTGTCCATCCCTGGAATTTATCGAATAAGGTGACAATTTCAGCAGTTTGTGAACATAAACTACATATAGAATGTTAGAGATGTGTTGTAAGTTGACCAACTATCTACAAACAATAAGGGTGCAACTGTGCCCACCTAGCCCACATTCTCGTGATGCCCCGATGCCCGTCCTCTCACTGTGGGGACAACAGTAGTGCTCACAAGTGCCCTGTTATAATTAATATGGGAGACCCTGAGGAGTCGCAGGCCAGCGCCAGTGAAGTAGTATCCAGGCAGGGGTATGACAATTCCCAGGGGTTTCCTGAGCCCCTAGCAGAGGTGCTATGAGTGCTAATCTACCAAGGGAGAGTCTCCCGTCATAATATAGCCGGTGAGGCGTTGAGCCTACAATCAGAACAGAAGTAAGCCCTTCAAGGTAGCGATGTAAGGCCTATCCACTCCATCCGCCCCCCCCCCTCAAATGCTCTTCAACCTCGAATCACCAACTATCCGCTGTGGACCGTGGGTCCCAAGTGTGGCTGTAATTGTGGCCTAAGAGACTCCCATTGGGTTGTAAGCAAAACTGTGGGTAGGTCCCAACCCATCCCCAAGCCTCCCCAACAGACCCGCGTCGACCCCCTATGCCGGATGCATGTAAAAATAGGCCCCTGGATAATTAGAGCCATCCCCAGCTGTCACCATACGATATCCGTTAAGGCAGTCAGTGCCCTCGTACTCTTTCCACTCACTCGGTAAATGGTGTTATTCCTCTGATGTCACAGGAACAGTAGGCAGGTTGAGATGGGGTGGAAGGCCAAGGCTTTGGAATAAACGCTGCGGATCTCCACCGGGTGAGAGAACATGCACACGACCATCCCGGAACACCAGCAACTTAAAAGGGAAGCCCCAGGCATATCGGAGCCCAGTGCAGAGCTTCAGTTATGGGCTTCCATTCCCTGCGGCGCTGGAGGGTGCTGGGCACCAGATCTTGGTACAGGAAAATATCTGCACCTGCATGTTTAGTGGGCCCTTCCCTGCTCTTTTGAAGCAGGGCCTCCTTTGTCTGGAAGTGGAGAAATCTAATTACAACATTCCTCTGGAAAGTAGCATTTGCTCTCCGGGTGCGTAAGGCCACGTGTGCCCTCTCAATGTTCCAGTGGCTGTTCAGCACGTCCGGCAGCAGGGGCTTCAGAATTGTAAGCATAAGGTCTTGAAGGGGGCCCTTGTTATCCTTCTCCGGCAGGCCTCTCAGTCGGAGATTATTACGCCGTCATCTATTGGCTATATCCTCCATTGCTAGTTCCGTCTCAGCCAGGCTGGTGGTAAGGCTATTTATTTGGGTGACCACCTCATTTTGTGCCTTACTGGTGAGGTGGTTCTTGTGCCCAGAGCCTGTAGTTAGTCCTGCAGGACTGCCGTTGATTTCACAATTTCTCCGGCAAGGTAAGTCCGGACTTCAGCCAGCTTGGCCAGTATCTTTGTTATATCTCCCGAGGAAGCTTCCACGATAAGAGCTGCACGTGGTGAATGTGGTGGGGAAGCCTGGCCTGTTCCGGCGCCATCTTGACTCTCTGACGGCCCGAATTTCTGGGCAGCAAAAAGGTCCATCACCATGCTCCCGGGCTCGGGGCCTTTCTTGGTATGCTTTTTAGAGTTCCACTTCTCCATCTTTCATAAATAAACTAATTTAAGTAGCTTTTGTAGGCTCTTGGCAGCGTGATAAGAGCGGAGCTCTACTCAGATGTGTCCAGCTCGCTCCTTGGTCAGGCCACACCCCAACCAGAGCACTTTTACAGGCCTTACAGATCCACCCTTCTTCTACTACACCATGCCAGGCATGATACTTAAGTAAGCTTTTGAATAAATAACAAAAACTTTTCTTGTATGAAAATTGCTTGGTTCACCCCAATTCTCTTGTATTCTACTAATTGGTCATCCGTCTAAAAGGAAAAGTTCAGTCTGCCAGCCTTGCCTGAGCTAAATGCAATTGTTTGCAAAGTATGAGACCAAACTTGCCACCCTAACATAAATGCATTGTAATGAGAAATTCTGAATAAGTAACACGGCTTTCCTCTACAAAAAGTTTACCTACATTTAGCTTGTAGTTTCTATTTGTTGTTGGGTTTTTTTTTTTTGTTTTTTTTTTACTAATTGAGCATTCCTCTATAGGAAAGTAGATATACCTAAAAAAGTGCAAAATAGACTAGCACTGAGAGGGACTTCTATGATAAAATAAGTTTTATTCTGTGTGCAAAAAAACAATAGCTATAATATAGATATCATCAGCAATGAAACATTGTAAGAAAACAACCAAATTTAACCATAAAAACAATAAAGTGCATATGCCAATAAAAAAACCTAGTCAATCGTATGAGACTAGCCCCTCCCTGTTCGGTTCTAAATAACCAAATAAACAGAAGATCAAGGACCTGATAGGTGTAGGAGAAATTGCTACAAATGTGCAGCTTCTTGATGGTCCTGTGTGGTCTGGAAAATATCGGTACGGGAGAGTCCTCAAGTGTTGTTCGTGTTGCACTCTGAAATATGGTGTAGCCGTTTGCGTTGTTCCATCTGCTGGGCACCCTCAGCTCTGGGAACCGGCTGTACCGAGTGCTTGAGGGGACAGGCTGTCAGCAAATCAGTAGTCTTTCGCTCCTTCCTTAGGGAGCACGAAAGAATACGGATACTAGCAGTTTTCTATTATATACCCTAAGGGTGAAAGTAAATAATTGTCTTAAAGAAATATTTTTTCTTTTTTAAATATAGACAACATAAAAATTTATAGATGTTTATTATCCCCCCGGATTTTGGGGGGGTACGTTAGGTCTTCCCAATCCAAATTGTTAATTTCTTCCTGAACAGACCGGAGATGCCTATATTGGTAATGTTTCTGCACGAATCGTAAAAGTGAGATCTTGAACTCTTTTAAGTTTCTGTGGTCTACTACAGTTCCTCTTGATCCTCATATATTGGCTTTTTAGTATATTCCTAATCCATTTAGGGTGGTGGCCACTTCTTGCAACGAGGTATCCATTCCAATCTACCTGCTTTCGATGATTCCTAGTTTGGAGATGGCCTTCCTCATCCTGGAAGATATTGAGACCCAGAAATTTGATGCCGTATCTACTTGCTTCATATGTGAAGTTTAAATTTATATAATTAGAATTAGTATGTGAGGAGATCTTCTTCACTTCCATGCCATACCAGTATGATGTCATCGATAAATCTTTTGTAAAAAATTAGTTTTTTTACAAAAAGGATTGTTTTCTCAGATATATCTACTCTCCCACCACTCTATGGTAAGATTTGCATATGATGGTGCTAGTTTAGTACCTATAGCCATTCCTTTATATTGCAAATAAAATTGTATCTCAAATAAAAAATTATTTTGAGTTAACACAAAATTAGTGCAATCCAAAATGAAACAATGCTGGCCTTGGTTCATCTCATTAAATAGACCTAAAAAATATTGGACCGCATGATGGCCAACGTGATGAGGGATGTTGGCATACGGCCAGACTCACCAGAATACAGTCTTGTGTCCAGTTTATTTCTGGAATGAGTTGTAGCAGATGTGTGGTATCTCTGAGGTATGAATCTAGACACACACAGACAAGCTTATTGGTATACACACAGATGTAGTACAGACAAACTCTGACATGCACAAGCTTTCTACAGACAAGCTCACTGTCACACGCACACGCTCACTACAGAAAAGCTCACTGATACACACGCTTCCTACAGACAAGCTCACTGACATACGCAAGATCACTACAGACAAGCTCACTGTCACCCAAATGCTCACTGACACACACATGCTCCCTCGAGAAAAGTTTGTAAAAACATGGTCTAGATATTCTGTGGCCACCCTTTATTTTTTCCTGTGAACTAGTCATTGGCACAATGCCATACCTACAATGGAACAGATATGATATGCTTCTAAAACCTTGCTTTAGAGGGATCTGGTTATATATGCAGTGGAGAACCTCAGGCTTTATTAAACTGTTCCAATACACTCTGACAGAATTCATGAGCGGTATGCACCAATTAGTAGAGCTATAACCAATGATACACGTATACACAAGCTCACTCACTAGCAGGCCCACACACACACACACACACGCTCACTCACTAGCAGGCACACACACACACACAAGCGCACTCACTAGCAGGCACACAAACTCACTTACTAGCAGTCACACACACATACACACACAGCTTAATGTAGTGATTCTGGTGTCTATAGCCTGTCCATGCAGGATTTTTCAATGTAAACACGGACTTTTCAGAGAAAAGGCAGTGTTTATATTGCTTTCTAGTGACAGTCACTCAGACGGTCACTAGAGGTGCTTCCTGTGTCAGTTCCTGAACGTTCAGCGCTCTGCATGGAGGCGCTGAACATTCCCCATAGAGATACATTGATTTAATGCATCTCTACGATGAGATGCTGATTGGTGTAGCGTTTTGCAACCAATCCTTTAGCAAAACATTGGATTGGCTGAGAGCATCAAGCTTGATGATAAATGGCTGGCTGTGCATATAGGGAGCTGTGCTGTCTCTGCTCTGCTCCCCAGCGACGCAGCTTAATGAGACCGGGGCCGGAATATGACATCATATGAGCTTGTCAATGTGTAACCATAAGGGTTAAAACTGCAATTAAATGCTGTAAATACCTAAAACATATATACTGTAATACAATAAAGTGAAGTAAAGGACGTATGTACTCAATTGGGTAGACTCACTCGGGAAAGATCCAATTAGGATAGGCTCAAATCACAGCCACTCTAGTGACACAAACCCAGTTCTTTCTTTTAATGCAGATATAAGAAAAATGGAGGGAGGGTGACATACGGGCTAGAATATATGAATATTGAGTTCCTGTGCCATCTGCTGGTTACACATCAGAAGGCAACTCAGTAACAATTTTCAAGAATCCTGAATTGTCAGTTTGCTTCCATTGTATGGTCATTGGAAAAAGAAAGCACACCCTCTTAGAATTCTAGATACATAATAACAATCATCTGTTCCTAAGCAGGTCTTAAAATCTGGTAAATACAACCTGAGATGAACAACAACATACGACATATTAAACACTCTCACTAACAGATACACACATAGTAACACTCCCTAACAGACACACTCCCTGACACACATACTCACTAACAGAAACACACAAACAGACACACATACTCACTAACAGACACACACTCACATTAACACACTCACTTTAAAAAAAAAAAAAAAATTTAATCCCCCCAGCCTCCTTACCTTTGGGAATGCTGGGGGGCAGGGGTTCTCCCTTTCCCTGGGGTCCAGTGGGGCTGTTGGGCGGGAGGCCGGCGCTGGCAAGGGAGCACTGAATAGTGAGCTCTCTGCTCAGCCCCCTCGCGCGCCGCAGAGTGATGCCGGGACCCGGAATATGAAGTCATATTCCGGTTCCCGACATCACTCTGCGGCGCGCGAGGGAGTTGAGCAGAGAGCTCACTTATCAGTGCTCCTTCGCCAGTGCCGGCCACCCGCCCGCCTGGCTTGTCAGTTAGCCACTAGGCTAACAAGACATTTGCCTGGGCATTTGGGGGCGGCTTTTTTTGCCGTCCCCTGGAAAGTGCCACCCAAGGCAAATGCCTTGTTTGCCTCGCGGCTAATACGTCCCTGCTTGTAGTTAATAGGGGGTCATGTTACTTTAAGAGGGGACCAGTTCAGTACAAGCTTAAAACTGCGAATGCAGACATATGTACAGATATAGGAGTGTACATAAACAACTGCTCTAAACTATTTTACATTTATATTACATCTAGTAATCTCTCGCATGGATTATTGCAACTCTCTCCTAATAGGTCTTCTCACAAGTCGTATTGCCCCGCTACAGTCTGTAATGAATGCTGCAGCTAGACTGATTTTCCTCTCCTGTCGCTCCTCCCACACCTCTCCCCTCTGTCAGTCGTTACATTGGCTTTCTGTATCCTATAGGAGTCAATTCAAGGTACTAATCCATACCTATAAAGCACTGAACAATTCTAGCCCCATGACCTTCTCCTGTCTGCTGCTCGCACCTGTACAGCCTACTCACGCTTGCAGGACTTCTCGTAGGTGGCTCCTATCCTTTGGAATAGCCTGCCTACTACCATCAAGCTCTCCCCTAGTCTTCAATCATTTAAAAAGTGCCTCAAAACTCATCTATTTAGGAAAGCTTATGGCCTCCCAGAGTAACCTCTACTTTACATACCTGTCTCTTGCTCTCTCCTATAGGGCAGGGCTTTACTCTCTCCTCCAGCTCTGCTCCACTCCCACCCTATTTGATTGATATTTCCTGTCCTGTTGGGTTTTACACCACACCTCCTATAGACTGTAAGCTCGTTTGAGCAGGGCCCTCTTCAACCTTTCATTCCTGTAAGTTTTTGTAATTGTCTCATTTTTTGTTAAATCTCCCCTCTGATAATATTGTAAAGCGCTATGGAATATGCTTGCGCTACATAAATACCAGTAATAATAATAATAATAATAATAATAATGTATTGAGGTGTGAACAAATTCCCATTTTATTATGACCTTTGTGCTTTTTTGTAGCCTTGGATGATTTAAAATGCATGTTTAGGATATAGCCTCTCATTTTTTGTTTACCTCCTTTTCAAGACTATGGATGAGGCTTCAAATAGAAGATTTGTTTTCCCCTACACGATTGGATAATGGATGTTTCCCAGTTTATTTTACCTTTTTGTTACATCATGTGTTTAAACTACTTAGGCAGATGTATCTATGGAAGTTCCCTAGTAGCACTAGATTTGTTGACATCTTCTGCCCAACGCCCTCCACTCCGTTTACAATTTGTCAATATATGTACTAATAAACATTACTGGATTATACTAGACTGACCCTTTTGTGAACCCGTGATAACCCAGTGAAGTGACCTCCATTTTGCCTTTACATTTATAGTGGGGGGAAAAAAACAAAAAAAAGTTATGCAAAAACATTTCTGAACTATTGTATTTCAAAGACTGTATTTACAGAGTGTACATTATGAATCTAATTACAAAGTAACAAAAAAGACGAGAGATGAGCTAGATAATAGCAACACTCCTGAAGGAGCTAACCCGAGTAGTTGAAACAAGCAAATTAGAATGAAGTGTGCTACATTCAGGATTTGGACAGTGGAAGTTAGTGAATATATTTAAAACTTAACTTTTATTAGACTCAATAAAAGAACATTCCCTAAAATAACTGTTATAGCTAAAGCTCTTAGAAAAAGAAAAAGAGACAGAATATAGAAATTGTGGGAGGTTTATCACCTAAACATAGTATCTAAGAAACAGCATGGGTCAGTAAAACAAATATATAGATAGATAGATAGATAGATAGATAGATAGATAGAGAGAGAGAGAGAGAGATTATCTAATCAAAATAATGAGATAATGTGATTCTTATAATCGAAAAATATATATACAGATATGGTACCTCTAAACTGTTGCCATTGTAATCCCAGACCTATCTGTGCCTTTGAGGGCACCTAGTAAATCCCCAGTAAATAGTTATTTGAGGAAATCACCTTTGATTGGTGCAATTCAAAATTGCAAACACCAATGCACTTTCTCGGATATGACGTAATTAAATTGTGGATACCCAGTCGGAAAATTAGTTCAACAGCTGCTATTAGGGGGACAGTCAACTAAACTATTTCGAAACTGCCGACAAATTAATGTTTATCCAAATTAACTATATTTCTTGTATACAAAATTCTATAATTTACATAAGGACAAAATGGAGGCTCTTTAGTTTTATTCCAGTGGACATTTGAATATATAAGCTCACCTGCCACGTCAAGGCAAGCCTCAATAGGTGAGTCCTACACTAGCCATTAGATATGCTGATATCAGCCAAGAATCTCCAATGAGACAGGAAGGGGTATTTTCTAAACCCTTTCACATTTAACCCTTTATAGGGTTTCTACACATACAATAAACGTTTCTGGTATCAGACAAAATGTAAACATCTCTACAGAGACATAAAGGGGTATTTTATAAACCCCTACATACTTAACCCTGAATAGGGCTATAACACATACAAATCACCTTGCTGATATCAGCTAAAAGGCAAATTTCTCTGATGAGACAGGAAGGGGTGCTGCCCCTACATACTTATAAACTCTTAATAAGACAAACGTGGGGAGGCTGGCAGCAATGTAACATAGCTGTGTGATACAAAATTCATATACAAAGATAAAGCACAGCGCTTACAGCAGCAGCAGCTTAGTATCCAACAGCTTAAAATACATAGTTTAGGCCAGAGCGCAGGTAACGTTCTCTTTGTTTTTACTATGTATTTTAAGCTGTTGGATACTAAGCTACTGCTGCTGTAAGCACGGTGCTTTATCTTTGTGTTTGTATATAATTTACATAAAGCGGATGATCGTGGGCATTAAAAAAGAATGGTTATTAAGGCATTAATAACAACAAAGTATTTAACCAGGAAAGGCACATTCAGATTACAAACTTTTATTTCCCCTTATGCATAGATTTAAACATGTATGAAACAGTAACAGTGATGAGATATCAGCATTAAAATAGTGGATTATAAAAATGATATTCTCAAGTCATTAGTGAATTGTTACTCATATTATTATATTGTTGTTTTATCCTCCAGAGGAAGAACGCACATTTGGTATAAAGGCATATTAAGACCATATTAGTTTTTACGTTAAATGTGCTCCATCCCAAATAATACATAGAACATTGATATGTAACTAAAACGAAGAGGTTATAGTCTTCACTAAAATCTGTGTGTAACGGATCACCTGGCACCCCGACTGGGTACCTCCGTTGAAGGATGCTCCTAGCCCTTCCTGAGGACTCCAAGCACTGCAGCAGACACCACAACCACCGAACCGGCAAAGCATATGAATGCTCTCAAGCATATGAATGTTGTATACGGCCGAATAGGAAAAACCATGCGAATAGGTTTACACTCCTAGCAGTAAAACTGGAACAGCATACAATAAATCCTCCCCCAATAATGAGACGACACTTCACTTTGAGGGTTAAAACAGGAACTGACTGTACTGGCACATACAGCCTCTTTTATTCCCAATCCACAAACTTAGTACTGCCCACAGTGTTTTACAGCACAACCAATCAATCTGTACAATACACACAGACACTCCCACACAAAATCCTCCCGTCTGCCTGTGATATGATTACTGAACACAATGGTTAATCTAATTATCACAGGCAGAGAAATACAGTATCATAAAACACATCACAGGGACCCCAAAACATGCACTAACCCCATAGTATATCCTTGGAACTGGGGGATCTGGGTGAACCACATATCCAAAATTCACCCAGATCCATTCAGTACTTTGGAAGATACAGTTTAATGCAGATTCCCCAGAACATATGCAGGCTAAATGAAAAACAATTACTGTATAATGTGTCCCCTGTTGTATAGTCCAAAACCACTGCACGATGTCTCTGTGCACCAAATACCGGCGAGATGGCACCGTGTTGAAAAGTCCAAACAGGGTCTGTGAGTTAAAATGTCCGCCATCCATTGTTCTTACCATGTGCTTCATCCATTGTTCTCAGGAAATGGTGGCCACCCAGTAACTCCACAGTATGTCCCCAGATGGTTCTTAAAGGGCCAGCAGCAGCACAACATGTCTTTAAAGGGCAATACATCCCAGGGGCCATAGTCACATGGCAGGAGGCTGGCAATCAGTCTTCTCCAATGCCCAGTGGCGAGGTCGGTTTCGCCACACTGTGTTTTAATCAAATTGTATCAAGTGAAATGAAACATCAAATGATAGTTGGGTCCGATCATAATAAAAAGGAGGGAGAGAGACAGGAAGGCATTGCCATTCCTACACTTTGATACAGTTATTTCAAATGACAGCCAGAATATTATAAAGATATGCTGTAAAAACAGTAATGATATACTTATGTGTCGCTATAAATCCTTATCTTTTTTGTGGTTTGTAAGTATACAAAAGGAGAGATGTTAAGTGCTGAACGAATGAGTTCTTTTCTGCATTTAAATCAAAGAACTTGTAGCGTACTACTCCGTAGGTATGAACTCATGATACAGAACTGTATTTGTCAGGTGTACCTTACTTAATTAGATCAGATAGGAATTAGGTTTTGCAATTATACATAAAAACATGTGCACATACTTTACAGACCAATGGCAATGTAATTCTATGTATAAAGCTAAAAACTGTTTGGTGTACATTGAAACAGAAGCATCACATGGGCTACTTTTCACATACAGCGCCAACTTATAGTCTACCCACAAATAATGTAGATTTGTGGCACGGAACCTTATTCGTCTAACATACCCTAATCGACCCTACAGACGTCTCCCTGACGTTACAATTCGAAATTGATTAAATGTCAGGATAGTTGAAACACTAGTTCCAAAATCAATATGAAGTTCCAATCAAATTAAAAATGTGTGTATATATATTTAATAAGACAACTCATGTCCAAAAGTGGTACACTTAATGTTAACGAAAGTTGTAAAAAACACACCAGGAGGATGCTTAGCGAGGTTAATTAGCTCCAACTAATGCCCTCAAAAATATATATATTTTTTTTTATTTAACTTACACTTGCTAATAATTCAATAGAAGTTATTGATTAAATTCAATAACATTGTAATGTTTGATTTCACATCATTAGGTGTTTAGCGATGGATAAAAGGCGTAAAATTAAATTCTTCATTAAGTCCCGGTGGGGACAGAGTCACGAACTGATGGATCCATCTCAATTCCATTTTTTGAATTATTGTATTAAAATTGCCTTTTCTTGAATTGACAGTAATTTGTTCGAATGCTTGGAAAGAGAGATGTAAGAGATTACCATCATGAAGGTTTCTTACATGGTTACCCTAATCGACCCTACAGACGTCTCCCTGATGTTAGAATTCCAAAATTATTAAATGTCAGGATAGTTGAAACACTAGTTCCAAAATCAGTATGAAGTTTAAATCAAATGAAAAATGTGTGTATATATATATAGATATATATATCTCTAGTAAGACTACTCATGTCACCTACTAGGGTTATCCCCTCCAGAAGTGTTGCTATTACCTAGCTCATAGAGAAACTGCTATGTTTACACTAGGGCTAATCCCGCCTCTAGTGGCTATTTCACTGACAGCTGCTAGAGGCACTTCCGCGCTTCTCACTGTGATTCGCTGGACGTCCATAGGAAAGCATTGAGAAAGGCTTTCCTATGGGCAGTTTGAATGCGCTCTTACCGCCCAAGGGCATTTGGCGCTGACGTCGGCAGGAGGAGGAGAGTTCCCCAGCGCCGAGGGAGCCCGGTGCTGGTGAAAGGTAAGTGTTTTAACCCCTTCAGCCCAGCAGGAGTGGTAGGCTGAGTAGTAGGCTACAAGTTCTGAGATTAATACGCAAGAAATGACTCATTCGTTTAGCATTTTACATCTCTCTTTTTGTATACTTACAAACCACATAAAAGATAAGGATTTATAGGGACACATAGAAGTATATCATTACTGTTTATACATTCTAGCTGTAATTTCATATAATTTTTCATTATTAACGGGACCTATCATTTGAAGTTTCATTTCACTTGACAAAATTTGACCAAAACACAGGTTTTAGTGAAGACTATAACTTCTTTGTTTTAGTTACATAACAATGTTCTATGTATCATTTGGGATTGAATACATTTAACGTAAAAAAACAATATGGTCTTAATATGCCTTTATTCCAAAGGTGCTTTCTTCCTCTGGAGGATAAAACATCAATATAATAATATGAGTAACAATTCACTAATGACTTGAGAATAAAATTTTACAATGGCAATAGTTTAGAGGTACCATATCTCTATATATTCTTCGATTATAAGGATCACTTTACAGCTATCACATTATTTTGATTATATATATATAAAAACATTTATTTTTTGTTCTACTGGCTATTGCGGTTTCTTAGATACTATGTTTAGGTGATAAACCTCCCTCCAGTTTTATATTCTGTCTCTTTTTCTCATTTTGAGAGCTTTATCTATAACAGTTATTTTAGGGAATGTTCTTTTATTGAGTCTAATAAAAGTTAAGTTTTAAAATATATTCACTAACTTCCACTGTCCTATATCCTGTATGTAGCACACTTCATTTTTTATTTTTTTTTGCTTAATTAAAAGGAAATCACAATTATTTAAAAGGTAGTATACTGTGTCTGATTAATATGGCTCTGTGTGTTTCAGCTGTGCTGCAATGTGAATTTATTAAATTCCTGATCATTGAAGATAATTGGGAAGATTTTTTATCTTTTCCTGGAAATATCTGTCACACGTTATGTAAGACTCCAAGTTTCCAACGTCAAAACGGCCAGATATCTGATAAACATAAACAGGGTTTCTGTAGAAAAACAAATAAAAAATAAAAATAAAAAAAAAACAAATATATATTACAGAAATGTAATCTGGAGCAAAGAGACACACAAATTATGTATTTAAACATCAAAATGTTGCCATGAACTTACTCAAATATATTTATTTCAAATATGTTATGCTCCATGTGTTCTTATTCATTTTTCACCAACAGCTTCATTGCCTTAATACTCAAAATACTGACTGCGAAATGGATGTATTTCTAAAAAGTGGGTCCACAAATTGAAACTATTAGAACAATAGTACATATTTTAAAGATATCACAACTTGGGTTCCTGTGGCTTCTAAAAATAGATGCCCTTGGTGTACCTATTAGCTAGGTAAAGACTTAAATCAGTCAAGCCAACAGAACATCATGCGTGTTCCCAAAAGCATGAAAGAGTAATATGTTTTTTTATCTGCTTTATCCCACGTCTCATAATTCCAGAAGTTTTATTCAATATTTGATTGAGTTTCCGTTTAGTAACTGAATTACATCATTTCGAAATCTTTGGTATTTGTACCCTGTACTCGTACTTATGACTGGACCACTAATGCTTCGTTGTTTTATTAATAGTCAACCGTTATTTCATAAGAAACATTTTTCTTAAACAATGTCTTAAATTAGGGGTGGTTGCTTAGAAGAACAAACTACTACTGCACTCAAGTGAAAACATGTTGAGAAATATTGATATATATTCTTAGCCAGCACAAGTATATTTGTAATATATATACACATTTCAATAATAAAGTAGGTGCACTCACAGATTTTTTGTGTGAAAAAAAAAATTAACAAATTTTCCTTTTCCTGTTTTCGCATATGAAAAACTGGAAATTATTGGAATTATTTACTAAACGTGGTTAGCATCAGGGTATGAAATTGATTTTTCTATAACAGAAAGGTGAGTGCCAAGTGTTTTGCATATATATATTTAAAAATTTTGGAAGCTAGTAATACCTATTCACGAGCCACGAGAGAAAGTGACCTGGAGCATCTTTTTCCTCTAAGGGTGCATCCTAAAGAAACAAAAAGGTGGAAAGCCCGCAGCATTAAAGAATTACATTGTGTGCTTTTATAAATTCTTTACATTAATCAATAAAGAATTTGAAATAATTTTTCCCATAGAAAAACCTTCTGACCCTGGTGGAGTCACACATTTTGGGCGACACTTCCTTGTGCACACCTATTTCTCATCTCACACCTTCTGCCTTCTCAGTCTGATTTTGAGGTTCTGTTTGTAAGACTTCTATTTGTGCAATACTTTACTGTGTCTTTCTCTCTTTTCTATATTAATTGTACGGTTTGGAATGTACATGTTTGTTGATTGTTATGCTTTTTTGATATTCCAATAAAATGTAAATTACAAAAAAGAAACATTTATACGGTGTTAAAATGCTTCAGTACCTGTAGGTTGACATGTGAGGTCTACGCGGAGGGTGGGTATTTCTCTAAAAGATTCTTATGACCACTGTTGTAGAATATAACAACGTGCACAAATATAACACTTTGCACTATATTTATATAAAATACATTGACTTGTTACAGGTTTATGTATTACAGGAGAAATTGCTACAGGCTGGAGTATTTTAGAGAAATATCTTCTTTGTTTTCAAAACATTCAAAATCATCTGTAGCGTATGTGAACCTTTTTATTGTGATGTTCTGTTTATTTTTACATTTATATTAAATATTTAAAAATATTGAACAATCCATTTCATACCAGGCAAATGCTGCAAATGACAAGTAGTAGAAAGTTTCATTTTAACCTTTTTATGCACATTGCAAAAATATATTTTGTTAAATAAAGTGGATAAGTAAACAGATGTCTTAAAATTCTGGGAAATAACAGTTGCCCTTTAATAAAAAAAATAAATAAAAAAATAAACACACTCTATAGATGTTGAAGATTACATTAACTATCTAAGCATATTGGACCGTCAAGCTGCCAGGAGGCCATCTAATGCAGCTCTAGTCTTGAGCCCGAAAAAACATTAAATTCTGCCCTTCAAAAGGCTGTGTTTGAATGGGGGAATACCCCTGCTTTATGGGCAGACCTGAGCCTGCGGCATACTAATGGAGAACAGTGACCATCCGCCCGTGTTGGATGAAACATTCAGCATGAAGACGCCTGTCGCTTTCAACCAGCAATGACAGCCGGGGAAATCACACTACAGCCCCGCTCACACTACACCCCAAATCCCCATATGACCGAGGGGGTTATTCCGGTCTCCTGTTTTCAAGTTGCCAGTTACAAATTATAAGTACTTCGCTCTCAGCCTATGTTCATTGGACTTTGGTTTTACCCTCAACCCCCTGTTACTTTCTACCTTTCCAGAGAGAAAATGAGGAGGCTCTCATAAAACTCACCCAGGGGGCTGCCGGTGCATCACTTCAGTGCCCGGGAGGGCCTGCCAACAAACTGCAGCGATATACGTACTGGACTGCACCAGGTCGGATAGACAGGGCCTCTAACTCTGGTTGATCCGGTGGCCTAGAGAAAGATGCACCCCTTCGCTGTGAGCCCGGCTGGGGTTCAGAGTCCTTGGTGGAGATCTTTCTCTGGTACGAAGAGGAAGATGGGAGTTCGGCGCCCTCGGGGGCCAGCAGGTGGTGTAGTGGGTATGGTACCCTTTAGGATTTGCATTGCTCCGTTATCTGCCCTGGGTTCGGAGGAATCAAGGGGCCGAAAACTGCCTTTTTTTGGGGCTGTACGTGCCTGGTCTAAGGTCCTTAGAGTTCTTGAGAGTACTCGGCTGGGAGATACCTATACTCCACAATTTTTTATATACATTTTTTTAACCTCTGCAGCCGCCTACGGTATATTGTAATGTAATAGAGCAGCAGGAAATGCTAGCAGAATGCTTGGTTGTATAGGGAGAGGTATTAGCAGTAGAAAGAGGGAAGTGCTCATGCCATTATACAGAACACTGGTGAGACCTCACTTGGAGTATTGTACACAGTACTGGAGACCGTATCTTCAGAAGGATATTGATACCTTAGAGAGGGTTCAGAGAAGGGCTACTAAACTGGTTCATGGATTGCGGGATAAAACTTACCAGGAAAGGTTAAAGGATCTTAACATGTATAGCTTGGAGGAAAGACGAGACAGGGGGGATATGATAGAAACATTTAAATATATAAAGGGAATCAACACAGTAAAGGAGGAGACTATATTTAAAAGAAGAAAAACTACCACAACAAGAGGACATAGTCTTAAATTAGAGGGACAAAGGTTTAAAAATAATATCAGGAAGTATTACTTTACTGAGAGGGTAGTGGATGCATGGAATAGCCTTCCAGCTGAAGTGGTAGAGGTTAACACAGTAAAGGAGTTTAAGCATGCGTGGGATAGGCATAAGGCTATCCTAACTATAAGATAAGGCTAGGGACTAATGAAAGTATTTAGAAAATTGGGCAGACTAGATGGGCCGAATGGTTCTTATCTGCCGTCACATTCTATGTTTCTATGTTTCTATTGCATAGCCTTTTTTATTCTTTATTTTTGTGGTGCATTTCAGGGAGTACATGTTCTTGCAATGCCACAACAGCAGTAACAAGAAGGGTGAACAACATTATTGCATAGCCTTTTTAATGTAACCACTTCTGCCACAAGATAAATCCCATGTATGCTTTACATGAGTCCTTTACACTGAATTTGCTACGGAATTTGCTCTTTGTTGATTATCAATACTCGCCCACTTAGGCTTAGTTTTCACAACTGCCCCTCCATTATGTACTTTGTTCTTAGTATATTGTATTTTTTGCTTATTCATATTATATGAATATATGATATCTATGAAAATGTGACTGAACTCATATCTGCTACCAATTTTAATGCACTGTCTTTCTACAATGTTTCTTTCAAGCCTTAATAAAATCTTTGAATAGAAAAAAAAAACAACTGCTGCCCAACCTACATGACAAGAGGTCACTAGCATCAGATATACAGCTGGTTTTAAATGACTAGATAAATCAATTTGGAAATCCTTAATGCCAGAATTGCTGTATAAGTTCAATAAAGAATGTAAGTAGATCTTACCCAGATAGTCACCTCCAACTAAATTCACAGACTGAAATCATTACCTTTAGTAAAACAGTAATAGTAAAATAAACAACCTTTAAGCTTTCACTGATAAGCGAATCAAAGAGTGTCCTTAAAATATACCAAATATTGCTTTTAGTATCAGTTACAAAACAAATTTTTTTTTATTCTTTGCAAACCAATTAAAATAAAATATTTACCTTATTTTCCTGAAGAAATTCTCTCACAGACTGGAGGGTATCTTTAGATAACACATAAAAACAAGGACACTAAAAAAAAAAAAAAAAAAAAAAAAAAAAAAAAAAAAAAAATCATCAGGACATGAAGCAACTGGTTTATTAGCCACAAAAAATTTTTTTTAATAAGAAAAAAAACTAACAAAAAAAAAAAACTGTTGCGCTGGGTTTTTGTTGGACAAATAATACAGCCAGGCACTAAAGAGGTGCAGGGTTTATTTGTCTTTAATATTGAATGTTATACAAGTGTGGGGTGGGTACCTGCAATCACAGCAATTTGATTTGTAGTATTAGGGTTATCACGAAAGTCCGAATTCGAACTGCAAAACCCAAACATTATTGATAGAATTCATTAATGTCCAGAAAGTGACAGAATTTGGTCCAGGTTTCAGCTATGCCAATCTCTGCTGGATGGCTAAAAAAATTTTTATAAATAGCCCTAAAATTCCATGGTAGCCCATGTCAATAACAGAGCTGAATAATATAAACGTTATACTCTCTCTCAAAAGGAAGTCAGTTACATATTTAATACTATATCGAAACATACAGTTGATACTCCAAGCACCATAACCACTACAGACTGTAGTCCAGTTCAGTCTCTTCTGAGCTCAGTATGGACCAATACAGACATGCTCATTGGCTAAGAATGTTCAGTTGGCATTTTCGGCCAATGAGAATGTCCCTGCATGGCCATACTTAGGTCAGTGGTGTTAAACGTCTTGCAAGACAATGAAGAAGTAGGACTGCAGCTGCGGCTGCCCAGGGTACCGTGTGAAATTGTCAAATTGTTCTTAAACAGTAGTAGGCTTTAGTGGTTATGGTGTTTTGAGTGTTACCTTAAATGAAGGGCTTTGGTTTCAGACATATATATACAGGGAGTGCAGAATTATTAGGCAAATGAGTATTTTGACCACATCATCCTCTTTATGCATGTTGTCTTACTCCAAGCTGTATAGGCTTGAAAGCCTACTACCAATTAAGCATATTAGGTGATGTGCATCTCTGTAATGAGAAGGGGTGTGGTCTAATGACATCAACACCCTATATCAGGTGTGCATAATTATTAGGCAACTTCCTTTCCTTTGGCAAAATGGGTCAAAAGAAGGACTTGACAGGCTCAGAAAAGTCAAAAATAGTGAGATATCTTGCAGAGGGATGCAGCACTCTTAAAATTGCAAAGCTTCTGAAGCGTGATCATCGAACAATCAAGCGTTTCATTCAAAATAGTCAACAGGGTCGCAAGAAGCGTGTGGAAAAACCAAGGCGCAAAATAACTGCCCATGAACTGAGAAAAGTCAGCGTGCAGCTGCCACGATGCCACTTGCCACCAGTTTGGCCATATTTCAGAGCTGCAACATCACTGGAGTGCCCAAAAGCACAAGGTGTGCAATACTCAGAGACATAGCCAAGGTAAGAAAGGCTGAAAGACGACCACCACTGAACAAGACACACAAGCTGAAACGTCAAGACTGGGCCAAGAAATATCTCAAGACTGATTTTTCTAAGGTTTTTATGGACTGATGAAATGAGAGTGAGTCTTGATGGGCCAGATGGATGGGCCCGTGGCTGGATTGGTAAAGGGCAGAGAGCTCCAGTCCGACTCAGACGCCAGCAAGGTGGAGGTGGAGTACTGGTTTGGGCTGGTATCATCAAAGATGAGCTTGTGGGGCCTTTTAGGGTTGAGGATGGAGTCAAGCTCAACTCCCAGTCCTACTGCCAGTTCCTGGAAGACACCTTCTTCAAGCAGTGGTACAGGAAGAAGTCTGCATCCTTCAAGAAAAACATGATTTTCATGCAGGACAATGCATGTAAATCTCACATTTGATGATGGACCACAGGTTCTCAATGGGGTTCAGATCAGGTGAACAAGGAGGCCATGTCATTAGATTTTCTTCTTTTTGTACGCACAACGCCCAGCCGCGGCTGTGGAGTACTTGGGCCAGCGTGTGATACGCGGCGTCCAAGTACTCCCAGCGATGGCTATCAGAAAGAATAAGAAAGAAAATCTAATGATATTCACAATCTGAACCGATAGTACAATGATCCATCATCAAATAATTGGGAAAAACAGTACACCTCTGAACAGTGTCTGGGAGGCTGTGGTTGCTGCTGCACGCAATGTTGATGGTGAACAGATCAAAACACTGACAGAATCCATGGATGGCAGGCTTTTGAGTGTCCTTGCAAAGAAAGGTGGCTATATTGGTCACTGATTTGTTTTTGTTTTGTTTTTGAATGTCAGAAATGTATATTTGTGAATGTTGAGATGTTATATTGGTTTCACTGGTAATAATAAATAATTGAAATGGGTATATATTTGTTTTTTGTTAAGTTGCCTAATAATTATGCACAGTAATAGTCACCTGCACACACACAGATATCCCCCTAACATAGCTAAAACTAAAAACAAACTAAAAACTACTTCCAAAAATATTCAGCTTTGATATTAATGAGTTTTTTGGGTTCATTGAGAACATGGTTGTTGTTCAATAATAAAATTAATCCTCAAAAATACAACTTGCCTAATAATTCTGCACTCCCTGTATATATATATATATATATTTTTTTTTTTATTTTTTTTTTAATACAATGCTAAACAAAAATCTGCATACCAGTCAAGCCATAAGACTTGCTTTTCCCACAGAAATCCCAAATCAGCAGTGATGTTACAACCGCAAAGGATTCTGGGTGGGCATATGCAAATTAGTTTAGCAAAGAATCACATTTTTGCCTCATTCCATTTTAAACATGGATTCCTTTTAATTTGTGTTTGCAGTATACAACTGCTTGGAACACAATTTAGGATAAGATGCAAAACCAGTGAACCACTCATGGACAGCTGTTTCGTTGTTAATGCAACTCTTCAGCATGAGGTTGGTTACTGGTTTGCTTAGTGAGGCTTGGTAGTGCTTGGGAAGCAAAATCCAAATAGCTTTATATTAAAGTAATACCGGCACTCAAGGGTTTCACCACAAACAAATCTTCATTTATTGCGAAGAATAGATCGACGTTTCAGCTCCTCACAGGAGCTTTCATCAGGACACAAAATATCAAAAACATTGAAACACACTTATATAGGACATATAATGATGTGTACTTACATTCAGGTGTGTTGCATTCTCGTTCCCGCCAGAGCCGCCGCGGGCGCCATGTCAGACTGAATCTCTTCCGGATTCCGATCATGTGACACCACCTACTAAAATCTTATTGGACGGCTCTGTGTGTTACTAGGGCAACCAGAATCAACAGAATCTTATTGGTTGCACCCACCAACACCTGAGCCGACGAGGGACAAACAAGTCTCCGGTTGTTATGCGTTGGCATGGCGACCCCAAAGCGTCATCCGTGCGCGGACGGGAATGCACTAGAACATATAGATAATGAATATAATCTAACAATACTACATGAGTTATATGTGTAACAAGTGATTTAGCAAGGTGATAAGTAACTTACATAAAAGATAGAGGATGCCGATATAATCAAAAGATATTTTTTTACCTATATACACACGGCAACCACAATAGTGTAGAGGACAAGTTAATGAAGTTAAATACAAATTGTTAAAAGTGCATACTATGTGAATGTGGTAAGGGAGTAAGTGATACTTTACTACTGGGCTGAAAGACAGCCTGTAGAGTATAAGTAAAACTCCTATGTTAGAATTGAACAACATATATATATGCTGTCTCTTTTAACATTATACACATTGTACTGAATATAAGATGTGGTAAATAAATGTTGTATTGGTAAGTCAGTCAGACTGATAATGGTGCAAGCCATAATGTAGGATGAAACACATAATATTTTGGTTTACAGGTTGTACAAAAAAATCCCTTGTGGGCCTGAAATACACCAGGTTACCAGGAGAGTAGATAGGACACTGCATAGTTACAAACAAATAAAAAGATAGGAAAAGAAAAATATGTTTTAATCCTGAATCGACAGACCTTAAGTGTGTAGTACCCATTCACAGTCACATGCACTGGAATGCCAGTTTATCCCTTTGTGCCATATACTATAATTATAATCACTCTAGGCCCCTTAAATGCATAAAGTTTCCCAAGTGCAGAGATTGGTGATCTCATCATACCCAAGAGAATATCCTGCAACGTGTTTTCTGAGAATTGAAAGTGCTTGCTACTACTGTTCTATCAGTAAACTACGAGAGCTGCTAAGCTCTGTCACCGCTTGCACACTTAGTAATAAACACCAATCACTCTCAGAACTAAACTTTGCTAAAAGAATTACCCATGAAATGAGCTAAACCTACCCCAATCTTTCTTCTGTGATGATTTATGAGTAAGGGGCAAAGCTGTCTGCTTAAATACTGTTTACAATTGTATTAACTAATCTGTATTCTGTACAGAGCCGTATTCTACTGGTTACAGACTAGGAGTCCTATATGACCGCCATTCAGTTTAAATTTAATGTTCATGTTGTGTTCTAATAATCCCATTCCTCAGTCAGCCACAGCACCAGATTTCACTCAGTGTCCTTCGTTTTATCATGATTTTAAAACCACTGGCACCTTTAAACCATCTTACTGTTTTTCTCATTGATTAGAACTGCTAGAGCAGTGATTTGTGTGAACCACTGACCAAACCCAAGGTGTGAGAAATGTACACATTGATAACTCGATTCCTGATTTTGTCACTGTGTCTGGAACTGATTCCATCTTCCCATTAAATGATTAACATATGAAAGAGGAGTACAGCTTACTGCTTGTCTTGATGTTGTATCCGTGGGAGAAGGTTTCTCTCTTAACGCTCTAACCCTCTGGTCCTCATCAGTCTCCAAAATCCCATATTTCCTAGTTTCTGGGTAAAAGAAATGTGTCATGGTAACTTCAGTGTATTAAGCAAGAGCTTTTATAGAAGACAGAATTCATATAAAGACCTAAACATAATTACACTTATTATAAAGACAATGTAATTTCATTTACATAAAGATTTAACTAACCAAATATGGTCTGTTAAAGGAAAACGCCGGTGACATAAAACACTATGGAAGTTCTTTCTATGTCTGAAGTCTGCTGATATTTTTTTTCCAATGGTTGATATAGAAAGTTCAATAGAAATTGGCAGTTTTATAACTGTGAGAAGAAATGCCTTCCCAACTGTAACTTAGGCAAAAAGTTGTTTTTTTTTTTCTGCTTCCATTAGTTTCACAGAGCGTGGCATGCATTCTGGGCCTGTATTACAGCTCATCGAGAAGCATTGGGAGGCCGCAATTACACACCAGTGGCGGCTCTAGACTTTGTGAGGCCTTAGACGAAATTCAAACATGAGGCCCCACTAACACCCAAAGTAAAAAAAAAAAAAAAAAAACATAGGGGTTGCATTGTGTATATATAAGGTGCTCTAGTTGTATTGAAGGACAAGCTTGCAGCGCTGGATACTGAGAGCTAGTCTCTGTATTCATTTTTCAGAGGCTTGCAGTGTCGTGGCTCCCTGTGCCGCTGCTTTGTGAGCTCTCTGACTGTAGTAATGGCATAATTTGCCAACTAAATTAGATTTAATTAGCAATTATGCTAATCATTTATTCACGACTGCGGGGTATGGTTACATAACCTTGAAGTCGTGTATACATAAGTGAAGGTGTGTGTGTTTGAGTGTGTCTGGCATGGTCTACATGTGTATGTGCCTGAAAGTGTGTGTCTGACCGAGAGTATCCTTGTGTTGGAATGTTCATCTTTGAGACCGTGTGTGTGGGGTAGTTGCTTGCGGTGTGTTGTGTTTATGGGGGCTGCTGTGACCCTTGTGCATGTGTGTGTGTGTGTGTGTGTGTGTGTGATGAATGTCTATGTAAAAGTTTGTGACTGTGACAAGGTGAGTAAAGCGGTAACTATGGCAGGGTGAGTGTGACAGGGTGAGGGTGTTAAATGAGACATGATTGGGGTGAGTGTGACAGAATGAGGAAGGGTGAGAATGATAGGGGGGCAAATGTGACATGATTGGAGAAGGGAGTGTGACAGGGCAAGGTGTTAATTAGTAATAATATCTGTTGTTCACTAAACTCTAAATATAGCAAATTAAATATTTGATGGCAAAAGTTAGATGCAAGATTTAAAAAAAAAAAAAAAAAAATCTACTTTACTTTTCTTTGACCTTCAGATTGTAAAGTATGACTTACCTTCATCTTTACAGGTGTACGATAAAACCAGGTTAGCACTGGCATTATCCTTATAAAGGGACTGAAATCTTCTTATAACATCTTTGAGATGGAAATCCTCATAAAACAAGGTGTCCCTGAAAATAATTGTAAGCAATATACATTTAGTGCTATATATTAGAAGTGATCTTCATGATTATAGCATGTCATGTATTTGTTTTTTTTTATTTTTCCTTTAAAAAATATAAGCATATTCAGAAAAGTTGTGATTGTCGGAGTGATGTCCATTATGGGAAGAATCCAAGCATTTAAGATGTCTGTATTTTATAAAACGACAAAATAAGCTAGTATAGTACAATACATTTAGCTAAGGTAGTCTACAATCTACAATCAGGTACGACTGGTATACTGTGCATGTTATCACAACTTAGAAAAGGGAATTGTTCATCATTTGACAGAGAGCTTCTTCATCCAACTGTATCATGGGGATAATGTATTTTAAATAGCCAACAGAGCAGCTCCATTACTTGGTTACGGTTTTAATAAAAACACGATTTTTGGGTGGAGCAAGCCTTATTGGCATGGTCCACCCCACCTCCCAAAAAAAAAAAAAAATAATAAATACTTACCTTAGTCTGATGTTCCTTAGCTGAGAGGGAGGGTTTCAGTGAGGACTTAGCGTGGACTTAGCGTGGGAAGGGGTTCCACCATTGGATGTTTGTTGCCAGCATGCTATGTGTGCTGATGACATGCCAACTATGCACAGAATTACCATTAGTGTTTTTTAATCTGGGTAGTAACGCATCTGGGCAATTGCTGCAGATTTGCTTGGGCTGAATGAATTGCAACTGTATTTGGCTTTAGTAAATATGAGAATTGCAATTGCTGTCAGCATTTGACCATTTTCAGCAGATTTTGTACAAACGGAATAACGCCGTATAAATGTCATTGAAAAAATTACAGACACAAATTTACAAAAATAAAACACAAAATTACAGAGGGAGAGCTCCCTCTCATGCTGCAGCACACATATAGTGGTGCTGGTCAGCTGGCAAAGCCCAGCACCAATCACTGACTAAAGAGCATGAAGGGAGACCTGTGGGCCTCGTTCATAGTATGGGGGGACAGTGCCAGGCTCGGAGGACACTGTTTATTTTGGCACATTCTAAATTACCGCAGCTGAATTCTGCATATTGCGATTCTGACAGTCTGGGTCCACTCATTGTGGCCCCAACTGACAGAGGGGACACCCAGGTATTAAAAGTTTTTGAAGGTAGCAGTCTGGGGTAGTAACTGAAATACAGCAGCTGAGCAAAATACCGTGGCTTTGAGAGCTGCACACAACTCATCATTTTGGGGCCACTAACTGTGGCCCCAGAAGACCCTCAGCGAAAGATACCTGGGGTCCTTGGTACCAGCAGAAATGTAGCCTATGCTGGTACCTATACTGCATGATGGTCAATGCCATCACTGGACGTTAAAGCCCTGCACTGCACAATGGCATAGACCGCAATGTGGTCCTTAAGTGGTTAATAAGTACAAAGTAATTCCTGTTGATGGGAAGTATTGATTATACTGCATTCTGAAATTACTGTTTGGAACAGTACACCTATACAATCAATGACATACTTACAACCATTTACTGACACAAAACACAGTGACACAAGAACTCACCTTCAAGCATGTAAGCTCACCCTTACCATCAATTCTGTGAATTGAGTCCCTGATCTAGGCTTTTTAAATTAAGAAGATGCTCGTACCCCACTTGTCAGCTTACTTTGCCACTGGTAAAGACAGTTTACACCAGTCTTAAGCAGGATATGGGCCACAATGTGAGTAAGCGATTGGCTGAATATCCCTATCCCATCCTCTTTATTCCACGGTGCCTATTTTTTTGTAGAACAAGCAAGGGTTTCCTGACACGTTTCCCAGTCCCACTGGGACGTGCCTATGCGAATACCTGGAAACGTATCATAAAACCCACAGCTCTATGCTGCATTCCCTACTCGTTGTTCGGTCTGCTGTGAGGGTCAATTAGGGGATTAGAGATTCAGGGCTATGGAACCTCACCGGGTGTCACCCCCAAGTGTAGCCTGCACCTCAAACCCCTACTGACGCCACATGTTGCCATGAAAAAAAAAAAAGAAAAGAAAAGAAAAAGGATTTCCATCTCAGATCTCCTATCTTTCATGAAATAGTTACAGCCAACACATTACAAAACACATAACCATGATAAATATAATTTGCACAAAGTTTATTGAAAATCATATTTCATAGCATACTTCTAAGAATTCATCTTTATTTTACAAAGCAGACCACATAATCAATATTAAGTATTAAAATTATTTATTTGAAATAGTTACATACCCTCCAATGACCAGTATATGATCATTTACTTTTATTTTGTCAATGGCCAACTGTAAACATGACACAGCGCCCAACCGGTCCTAAAATTCCAAAAACAAAGCACAAAAAAACATGAATGTGTCATATTTTACATGCATTGATTTGGCTTGCAGAAAGGTCTAGTGAAAAAACAAAAACAAAAAACAAACACAACTTAGACCAAGGCTTAAAGACTAATAAGTAAATTACAACCTCTTGTTCAACTAACAAATACTGATGAGCCATTCAATCAATACTCAAAGTGCACTGTAGTGATTTTAGTATCAGGAGTACCCTGCCATGGCCCTCTGAGAAGTGGGATGTGGCACCAAGGTTTTGTATTGCACCATCACAGTTTAAAAGTCAAAGACAGTAAAAGCGCTAAACAGGCATTCAAAAGGAGAAAAAAAAAAAGTGGGTAAAACTGTCTCCTTAAGGAAAGAATATGCAGGTATGTACAATATATTTATAAAAACAGTGTTGTAGAAATATATTCAATGATGCAGCTACAAACTTAAGTGCTAGTGCCCCCAAAGGTGATCAGCACAAATAGATATAGAATGCAAATCGAAGGTACAAGTGGAGCGCATGAGTGGATAATAATCACAAACCCATGGTACATTAAGTATTTATATTTATACCATCACAGTTTGACTGCCTGCATTGGAGAGTTCCAGGGCACTCTTAGCATCATCACTATAGCAGGCTTTAATGTCAAAGTGATTTAAACCACGGTTCTGATACTTTTGAACACTTTAAACATTCTCAAACTGGTAAAGAGGGACTTCTATAACTTACACACAAGTTTCAGCAATCACAATCCTGTCTACATCTAGTAAAATCAAAACCTAAAAAGTCTTTAAAAGTCACTAAAAATAATAATTAACCAGTACCCTGAAATAATTTCAAGTATATGTGCATGAGATGGGCAAAGCATACACCTCAAGAACCTTACTTGACTTGATATGTGGAAGCATTCACTAATGATTCCTTATTATTGAATAATTAAAGAACAAGCACTACCATGGAATACAGCAAAATATATAATGTAACCATTACATGTGAGCAATATACCTCAAATGTCTATTTAGATATAACTCAATGAAACACATATATACTGCAATGTCTTTTTGAGCCCACAGACAGTTTTATTGTCTTTAACCTAGTGATAAATTTAGCTTGAGATCATGGTAATCATGAGTTTGGCTTGGTTTTAAATTGACAATATTCACTGATAGCAGCATTACTAGAAGTAAAATGGTGTGTAAAATGTGGATTGTGTTCTCATTGAAAAGTGATTTCCAATTCCATCTGAAAGTCAATACTTTATTGACAATGGTACAACAACAAAAACAATCAAGTTAGCTGGGGATGGTTGCCTGGACTGTATACATTTAAATATATATGAAGCCTTAGTTTATTTTGCATGATGTATTTAATATTTTTGGGGATTAAAAATATTGCTGTGGTTCCATAGAAAGAACATGTAAACAATAATAAAAAAAAAGGGCATGGACTACAATTATTGCTTACTAGATCAATAGGATTCAAGATGGCTGCTCATTCGTGAAAATGTAAGTAAAAAGAAAACATTAAGGTATTAGGTTGATACATAGTTCGTAATGGAACTATTGGCGCTAAAAATCCTTTATTTGTTTTATTAGGTTGAAACATACCTCATTGCTGGAGGACCCATCATTTATTAGTGTAACAGACTTATACTTCTGGGCCCACTCTTTGAAATTATTGTGGTAATAATCATTGGTCTGGAAAACAAGACAATTGTATGTTGAATTTGACAAGTGTGCTGAAAACACCAGAAGCAAAGTAACAACATCTGCATGGTTTAATAAAACATTTGAAAGTTAATTTTCCTTTGGCTTTGAATAGCAAACGTAAGGAAAAATCCACCAGTTATTCTGGGAAAGGCAATTTGAGGCACGGTCAGAATTTGGCAATTCGATTATGATCAATTCCTTGTCTACTTAAAACTAAAATGTCCCAATTCCATACAAAGTATAGGAATTCAGACATTGATCATATATTCAAAAGAGTCTGGTTTTGAGCCATTTCTCATAAACATTAGAAAGAAAAGCAAAGTGTGCTTTTTGTATACAAACGCCAGAGGACGGAAGTAATCAAATCAAATGAAACTAAAAGGACCTCTATAAACGTCTTTACTGCTGAGTCCATTACAATAATGAAACCAGAGATAAACATCTAGCACATAAAAGGGTAATTTTGAATATTGTGAAATAGAACTATAAGTTTTCTATACAGAGCAAAATAAATGTAACATTTACCATAACATCCACATCCACAGGGGCATACTAACTGCTTGCTGAGGCAAATTGAACATTTTAATGCAGAATCATTGGAATGGAGCGATAAATTCAAACTTATGTTAGTATTAAAACACATTTAAAACTGAATAAAAAAATAAAAAAACAGTTGGAAACAAGTTTTCGTTTTAATTGTAATTTTTATTATTATTGAGTTTTGCGTACAATATTCGGGATTAAAAATATATATTTGCATCCTTATTTGACAAGCAGACGTTATCACACACAGACATTAGTTGTAATGTGTTCCAAAAATCAGTAGAGGTCTCCCTTCGCCCACCTAAACTTTATAGCACATGTACGCTGTAAGATGAAGGGAGATTTTCAAGGAACACCCCACTGCCCCCATTATTTATTAATAAATCACTATTTAGTAGGTAAAAACATGAATGCACTTAATTATCCATTTTTTTTTCATTGAGGGTATATTTAAAAACAGCTTGCAAAAGACTATGAGAAGCCTCTTTACTGGAGCCACAGTTATAACTTGCCAATGCTTCTCAAGGAGTTAAAATACAGTTCATTGAGAATGGGAAAAAAAGCAGGAGAAAAGCATCAGGAAGGCATGGCATTTTGTCCCGCATATGCACTACCCTACCAATGGGCAAGTATTGGATTGGCTGATGACCTCAGCCAATCTCAGCTATTTCTAAGGAAGCGCCTCTTGTGGCTGTTAGAATGAGGCATGGAAATATTGCTGTTCCTGCAAAAGGAGATGTATACAGCCGCAGAGATAGCAGCGCAGTGTGGGGGAAAAGGTAAGTAAAATACCTTTTTAACGCTGGCGGGGAGTGGGTGATTACCTAAACCCTATTTGTTAATATGTTTAACTATATCCTGTACTGACTGAAGGGGTAGTCTGATATAGCTGCTCAAATAAAACTCATATAAACAACAATAAAGTCTTCATGTGAGACTCAGATACAGAAGCAGAGGGGGTATATGTCTATTACCCATGAAATCTATACGTCAGTAGCAAAGTCAAAATCAACTTCTGCATCACCAAACATGCGTCTTGCCTGTAGCTGGAACTTCAGGGGTGCCTGAACATTTCTCTGCATACGTTTGACCTTTATAATTTCTAAAAATATTCACAGATCTGTAGGTCTGCACATAATGTTTACATTAATGGAGCATTTAAAAATATAAGTTAATCTTAATGTCTTGACATGTGATTCCCTCTGTACAGCGTAGTAAGTCAGGCGTGAGCTCATGTATAGCAAGAGATAGAGCAGAGAGGTGGGTCACATCATAAGTGGCAAGCGAGAGCCCTGCTCTGGGTGAGTGTGTTAGGGGGGATGGGTCTTGCGCTTCGTTGTGTACCTGTCTTGGCGGTATAGGCTTATCATGGTATGGGTACTATGGTGGTGTGAGTACCCGCTGTCAAGAGGGGTGAGGAGGCCCTATGATGAGTTTTGACAAGGGGGCCATTGTAGCATTGTGGTGCAGGGAGTTGTCAGTTAGGGCCCGGGGAAGGGTTGAGCGGGGTGGTCAGGTGGCCTATGTGATCTGGGTTCGGTGGGAGGGATCTGTGCACATCACCAGTTGGAAAGCGGCTTACCAACATAAATACTCGGCCTTAGCTTACCCGGGGATACTCACCCATATATTATGCATACACACGCTAGACACCCGCACTCAACCCAATAACGGTATGCCACCTAGCCAAACTCACTTCTATACAATACACACGGTTATAGATGTGCTTACGATCCTTCCACTTTAAAAAAAATAAATAAATATGTGCAGTCATATCATTGTCATGCCTATGTTTACCTATGCTTTTACTCCGGGTCACCTCTGCTGACGTGACACGGTAAACATGTTTATTATAATGCACACGAAAAATAAAGAATCAAAAAATATATACATAAAGTTCACACTTATAAATATGCTCATAAATGTAAATGAACAAGAAAAGCCACAGTGCAATCTATCTGTATGAAATAAAAAGAAGAAAAAAAACTCACAACCACAATAACTTCTGAAATTTCGGTTGCTTCCAAGGCATCTACCCAGTATGATATGAGAGGACACTCCCCAATTGGGAGCAATGGTTTTGGAATTCCTATGAGATGTCTAAATTGTTCATTCTTATGAGTATGCAGGTCTCGAAGAAGTCGTGTTCCATAGCCAGCAGCCAGGATAACAGCTTTCATTTTAACACTGCAATTGAGAAGAGGAAAAAATAAACAATATGTTATCTTTTAATTATTATTAGCATTTATAAAACCAACACTTTATAATTATATATTGCAACAATTACACATTCTGGTTATTTAAAAACAAGCAAATGACACAAAAATAATGTTGACTGACACCAGAAGTGAAAAAGCCCTGCTCAAAGGAGGAGGAGGTATAAGAAAACATCAGGAAGAACAATTTGTCATTGAGGCAGGGAGATATTGATAGACATTATACCGATATCTAGCTAAGCTTATAAAAGTGGTGTGAGGGTAAAGCATAGAATGGGAGAACATGTTGTAAATTTCTGTTTGTATGAAAAGTTTTAGATATATACATTTTGTTTTTTCCCTTCAAAATGCATCAAGAACTGGTACATGCAGGTACCTCAGGAAGCAAATGTCAGCAGTGATAAGCTGGAATCACATTTCTCCATATATGCAGTAGGAGTCAAGCGGGCCTCATGCATTATCAGTAAAAGCATAGAGATCATTTACAAGGATAAATATATTGCCATTGTGCAACAGTTTCAGTGCTTCTCTGCAATGCGAAAGGGAAAACCAAAAGTGGTGGTGAACCAGCCCCTTACAAATAGGCCAGAACACCACACCCCCATTCCCTTGAGCTTGAAGGAAAAGGCGAGGACCGAGAATAGGAGAGCATGGCCCAGCGGGGACTTGGATAACCCCCACCGGCCCAGAGGGGAAGCGGGACTCAAGCGGTCTGCAGGTCGAATAATGGACAGAAGACAGAAGACACACAAGTGAAGTGTGCAGAGACAGGAGGATATATGTAGATATATGTCTGGACAGGATGATATCGTTCAGAAGTGAGAAAACAAGCTAGGGTCACCTGTCTGATCAATAAATGTAGGTTGAGCTAGGAGACTTATAAAATCTAGAAATGTATTAGCATTATAACAGTATTAAACCATATAATATGATTATGATAATATGATTAAACCGCTGGGTTTGCATTAGCCTAGGTTAGAGTTCCTGTCAGGAGACTTATCTTGGATGGCATACAGCACCCAAAATTGGAAAGTCAGCAGATACCCTGGCTGGGCACCCATCTTCCATGTGTAAAATGTCCACTGTAGTGAGACCTGCTGCTTGTCAGAGGCGAGTCACTCCCCATGCCCCAGGCCTGTTCCAGAGCCCGCACCCTGTTGCCATGAACTTGGAGTCTCCCTGAGTCCAAATTCTTCTCGTCCGGGAAATTGCATAGAGCTGTGGTTGGTGCTTTGGGGGTATTCCCTGGGTTGCCCTAGGCCCAGGAAAGTGTACAATAGGATGTTGCACTATTCGTGTGGTCGTTTTGCATTTGGGGGGTCTCTCTGGCCTCGTCCCACTGCGTATCTGGTTTCTCACCAGTGGTGATTACACAGGGGGAACCGCTTCATCCGTTCTAGTAAACGGCCCAAAATCAGTTGAAGGCTGCTTTCAGTCGCATTTCAATGTGTCCGAGTGGGTCAGTGAGGTTGGCTTGATGCTGCACCGGGCCCTGTATCACAGGCGCATCTGCCATCTTGTTTGCCACCACTCGGCGTTCTGGTTGTCATGTGGGCAGCTCACAGCAAGCTGGGGGGACCCTAGAGCATGGCTCAGCGGGGACTTGGATAACCCCCACCGGCCCAGAGGGGGGGAAGCGGGACTCAAGCGGTCTGCAGGTCGAATAATGGACAGAAGACCGGATGCGTCTCCTGCCCGATAGCAATTAGCAGGCCACAAGGAGCCCTCACCTCCACGAGTACACTCAGCCATCGGGTTTTCACACCAGGAGTCTTTTAATGAAATTAGTCACCCAGGAAAAATGCAAGCTTTCCTAAATACAGTAGTTCTGTTTTCAGTGACATCTTAAAAAGGACTGAACACTAGGGAAATGTCCACAAAGAAGAAGGTAGGACATTCCATAGGAATAGTTCCACGATTGACAAATGCTATAGATGAGAATTAGCAATGCCGGAAAAGAGGAGGTCACTTGCAGAGTGAAGGGAACAGGAAGGGATGCATTTATTATGAAATGAAGATAGGAATTGGTGAAATTTTTGTAAAATAGTGTTAGTAGCTTGTACATTATCCGGTAGGTATAGGAAGCCAGTGCAAGGACTAGCAAAGAGGTGAGGTGTGGGACTATGGGTGAATCAGGAAGATAAGCCATATGGCAACATTCAATGTAGATTAACATGGGATCATGTGTGTATTTGGAAGGCTGATGAGTAGTGAGTTGCAATCGGCTAAGATAAATGTGTGAACAAGTGCCTTAGTTGCATCTGCATTAGACAGGGTGAACATGAGCAATATTTTTAAGGTGGAACTTGGATTTGGATGACAACATTCAGACAGAGAAAGAGGAGGGACACAGTGATTTGTTCCAGGAGAACAGGAAAGAGATCAAGGGAGGAGAGGTAAATATGAGTGTTATCAGCATATAGATGGTAATGAAATCCTTTGTAGTGTAAGCACAGGATATGTAAAAGGCTAAAGAGACACCTAAAAAGTCCCTGTCCTATTAATATTTCTTGTATTGGAACTAACTTGTAGATATCAGAGCTTTAATATGGACACATCAGACTCAATAACATACATTTAAAGATAATTATATGATAGTTATTAGTGAGAGGACATGTTCCCTATAACTACACTCAATCACAAAAGGTATGGATATGTGTAACCTCTCCATGATCTAGCACACAGATGAAGTAAAGAGATATAAAATGACAACATATTGCTCTCTGTCACATTGGGATGTATAAAAGTAAGGACAGAGGTGGGCAAACCCAGAAAGTCATCACAGCACATGTCTAATGGTGCACTCACTAAGGACATTTCACTGGGATCCCTGGGCGTGGAATAAAAGATCAAAATCAAGATGGTCCCACTGGATCTAGGACAGTTGGGGTATATGCTGTCAAACAATAATAACTGATCTCACTGACTGATAACTGATATGAGCAAAATTAGTTAAAGTGATGGTTTCCCTTTAGAAACATGATTATAGCTTTGATGAATGACAGATTGCCTTTGATGCAGAAACAGTTTTTATTCAGGTTTATAAATTGCCAGGATTTTTGCAGTACTGCCAACAGGAAGACAAGATTTTTTTTTCCCAAACAAATTTACAAGAACAAAAGGTGACAAGGGCACTGCTGACACAACCATACTGACAAAATTAAAGACGTGATCAAAAATTCAAACACACAGCAACATAGAAACCTAGTTTGAAAGTCAGTAAATTATGATCTGATGAAATTACATATTTTAACTGTAAGTGTGGCATCGAGTTTGTCGAGTTTTATCAGATGGATATTGTATTGTATATCACAATGCTTTGTTGGTATGTCCAAAACTTAGTAAGAATTCAATCATGGATTTTCACTAGATTTTAGCCAATCAAATCCAAATGGTAAAATTTAAGCTAAAAACAGTCAAAGTCTGGATATAGTTGAGTTGGAGAATTATTCCAAATAAACCGTGTAAACCTTAATTTTTCCAGTTTAATATAATCTGATAAAATGTGGAATTTAGTGAGCAGCCATTAGTGTTACAGTGAAGTGTATAGTGTAACTACCTGACTGCCCAGCTCACAAACACTCAATGAGCTACTGTATCACTAAATATCCCTGACCAGTTTATCTCCTTGACAATAACCAAAGGGTGTTTACTCACTAAGAACAATATTGTTAGAAACTGAACATGGAATTGCAAAATTAAGCTACAATATCTACATACTGCCACTATAGGGGAGCTGGATCTTTTGTTTTCCCCAAACTTCCTCTTTGCCTAACTTTTGCAGTTAATCATTTCACTACAATTTGGGATGGTTTAATGTGGGGAATACTGGAGGGCACAGGGAAAAATATATGCACGGCTAGGGTTAATGTCAAGGAGAAGATGGGCTAGTATGGGCATTGTCGGGGCTTACATGGAGATTTGCACTGGATGATATCTAATTCAATATGTTATTACGGCTATCCTAACAGTAGTTGACAATATAACTCTGAATCTATCTGTGCAGCATTTTATTACGTTGCAACACTGTATCGAAACGCATATAAAATAATCAGCAGTGACAGGAATTCAAAACGCTTGGTTCTACCATGAGGAATAAAATTCTCTTAGGAGGATATTGTTTGGTTTATTTCCATCTTTATTTTTGCAGTGCATAAAAATACATAGAACTTTGCAATGCCCCAACAGCATAAAGAAACCCAACATAGTACACAGGATAGCAGCTGTGTGGCATTCGAGAGTAATCCACCTTTTTTTTTTTAAATTAAAATAAATATATTTAGTATGAATAAACCCAAATAAACCATGTATCTATCCAGCATTGCATAACACGTACCCTTCCTCAGAGCCCACAATGTGCCTGGACAGACTCACCATCTGTACTGGCTCACCATCAAGCAAACTTCCAATACTTTAACTGACAGCCATAAGCAACTTCGTGTTAAACCAGAAGTAAGACAGGAATCCTTACACACGCGGAAGTGACTTAAACCAGGATATGCGGTAACAGCTGAGCAGGGAAGGAACATGTGTTTCTTGTTTCCGGATATGATGTCTGTAGAACGCGTGTAGAACGTTACCTAGCAACGCAGTAAGCGGAAGACTGCCAACGTTAGCAGTGCTGGGCGAGAGAACGTTTATAGAGCGTTACCTAGCAACGCAGTCAGCGGAAGATTCGCAATGTTATTGCTCTGCTGGGTGAATTGACTCCTTTTCCATGAAGATTCTTCCTGAAGAGCCTGCTAGAAGTGAGCTTTTATTGATTCTGTATCTTATTACACGATTACCTTGGCACAAAAGCCAGTCTATAGTATACCCGGATGGCACAGGGATCTCCTAGTGTGTAGTTTGGGAATGTAGCATGTATGCATGGGCAAGGAGTCACACAATCACACCCAGGGCTGGTGCAAAGATTTCTGCCCCTAGGAAAAGATCCATTTTGCGGCCCCCTCATTTCACTACTTCATTGACAGACATACACTGACAGACATAAACTCACTGACACACACACAGAAACTCACTGACAGAAATATATTCACTCACTGACACACACAGACACTCACTGGCAGACATAAAGACACACACTCACTGATAGATACACACACAGACAGACACTCACTGACATACATACACTCACTCGCTGACAGACACACACACACAGGCAGACCCTCACTGACAGACACACACACATTAACAGTCAAACACTCACACAGTCACTGACAGACACAAACACAGGCAGATACTCACTGACATACATACACTCACTCACTGGCAGACACAAACACACTCATTGACAGTCAAACACTCACACACTCACTGACACACAGACTCAGACATCCAGCCTCCCTACCTCCCTAGGGGCCAGTGTTGTGCAGCTCCCCACTTCCGGCTCCCAGCATCACAGAAGGCGCGCAAAGGAGGAGTGGGGGCTGCAAGAAGAGCCTCCCACACTGCCATCACCTGCCTCCTCTCCTCTGGCATTCATTGGTAGAGCAGACACCTGCCATCAAGGTAAGCAGGTGCCTGCTCTACCACACTGAAGGATCGGCCCAGTGCTGAGGGGGCACTAGAGCTGCTCGCCCAGCGCTGCGGCTCAGGACAGGGAGAGCCCACCAAGAAATATCTCGGTGGGTGCCCCCTAGACGAATGCCTAGTTCACCTAACGGTTCTGATCACACCCTCATGGAGAGTCCTCCCTGTAACAGTGTTGGTGTCCATGGTTATCACTATCACTATGAAAACCATAGTGCTGCGAGGTGTTACTTTAAAGTATATATTCAGTTTGTTTCATTTATAAAACAAATGTTAATCTTGTAGATAAAAAAATTTCAATCAATGAAAACATGGTTGGGGGCACACTCTAATGAAATGTACTGTGTGCAAGCTTATGTAGACTGTTGCAGTGTGTCAATTATGTACAGTGGGTCATACACTGCATATTAATGCTGGCCATGATAGAAAAGTTTTAGAAAACCCAGTGCACTGCGTATGGGGCTATGAAGCTGCAGACAGAACATGATAATAACAAAGTATTTAACCAGGAAAGGTACATTCAGATTACTCTGGTTTTCAAGTACGTCCTGGGGATGTTACCATAGCCCATTTACTATTACCCAATTTAATGGTACTCAGTTTATCTACCTCGGAAGGATGAAGGGCTTAGTCAACCCTGCTGGGATTTGAACAGATTCTACCGATGATGCATTAGCCTACTGAGCTATCTCAGTAGCCTACTGAGCTATCCCAGCCTAATGATGACCCCTGTCCACCGCCGAAGGCACTTTTTATGGAGATGTGAGCATCAGAACTGTACCATGGAGCAATGGAAGAAGATTGCCTTGTCTGATGAATCATGATTTCTATTAGATTAAGTGGATGACCGGGTGCATGTGTGTCATTTACCTGGGGAAGAGTTGGCAGGATGCACTATGGGAAGAAGGCAACCCAGCAGAGGCAGTGTTATGCTCTGGGAAATCCTTGGGTCCTGGTATTCATGTGGATGTTGCTTTGACACATACTAGCTACCTAGAGATTGTTGCAGACTAAATACACCCCTTCATTGCATTGGTGTTCCCTTATGGCAGTGTCCTCTCTTTGAGTTAGATAACACACCCTGTCACACTGCAAAACATGTTCAGAAACATTTAGAGAAACATAGCAAAGAGTTTAAGGTGTTGCCTTGGTCTCCAAACTTCATGGAGGCCCCACCTTACATTTTGCAGAACTTAAAGGATCTGTTGCTAATGTCTTGGTGCCAGATACCACAGGGCACATTCAGAGGTCTTGTGGAGTCCATGTCATGATGCTTCAGAGCTGTTTTGGCAGCACGAGGGGGACCTGCATGATATTTTTCAGGTGGTTTTAATATTGTGGCTGATTAGTATATGTTATATAGAATATTTCTGTTCTCCATCATATATATATATACATTATATTGATTTACATAAATTCTCTTTAAATGCTTTGCTTATCACTTTACTCGCTTATAAACTGCCGATTGGTCTCATGAGCAAATTTCAATTATTTTGTCACTGCTAGTCTCTACTTGTGTCAATATTCTGGTACATCACTTCTATGGTGACTAAGATTTTAGAGCTTTACATTTGAGCATTTCTCTTTGGAATTCATTCAAGGCCAATATGCCAGGATCTATTCGTCATGTTTAGTCACATATTATGTGTTCAGATTGGTTCAATGAATCAACATTAAAAGAACAGTACGTGCACCATAACCACAACAACCTCCTATGGTTATGGTGCCAGGAATGCCATGGGGTGCCCCCTTTTGTAAGTTGTCAAACCATTTTTGAACACTTTGACTTCTTACCTGTGGTGTGCTGAGCGCCGCTCCCCTCCCCTACTAACACCAGTAAACCGGGAGCAGGAGTTCAATTAGCTCTCCGTTGAGCTAAGCCTTAGGATTGCGGACTTAGCTCAAGAGAGCACTCTGAAGTTTCAGCTTAAAAGCTTCCATCTTTCTGGCATTAGTAACAGAGGGCTGGATGTATGCACATACACTACCACATACATACATACATACATACTTACACAGATATTCATGCACATTAACACACAGATGCATATAAATACACCGACACATACACACAAATTCATATAGAGACCGACACATACACACATATAGATACACACCGACATATACACACATGCACCCTAACATATACAAACATTGGTACATGCCCACACCATGGCACAGATACACACACTGACATAAAAACACACACCGTGACACACATATGCACACACACAGATGCACACCCTGACACACACATACACACACTCATACACATACACACACTCATACTCACACTCATATATACAAACACTCATAATCACACACACACTCCAACTCATACACACATTCATGCACATACACACACACATACAAACACTTATACTCACACTCATACATACACTCACACTCATACTCACACAGTCAAACTCATACACACACTCATACTCACACAAATACTTATACACACACTCATACACATACACACACTCATACACATACACACACTCATACACATACACACACTCATACACATACACACACACTGTTTTTTAAATATCTCCAGCCACCGTCCTGTTCCCTTCAACTTACCTTATGTGCCAGGAGGGTGGCTTGGAGTCCTGCTGCTATGGGAGTGAGGGATCTTAAGCTATTCGTGCGCCTCTCCCCTCATGCTGCGCTGCCTCCTCCTGCGCTGTCTCCCTGCAGGGGCCCAGTCGCGGTCTTAAAGCACAGCGGCACCCAACAGGGCCCCTGTTCAGTATTAATGTTTCCCCGGTGCTATAATCATAGCACCGGGGAAACATTCCGCGACACCCTTGTGAGCACGTTGCGGCGCCCCAGGATGCTGCGGCACACAGTTTTGGAACAGCTGTGCTAAACTATAAAAATAATATTAAAAGAAAGTAAAATAACAATTAGGTAATAAATCTAAAGGAGAACTGTCACTTCCATAAATTGTGTCAACTTTTTCATGTGATTTTGTGTGATCCTCCATTTTGTGTAAAACGTATAGTAAAGATTTAGCCATTGATATCACAATACAGTTCAGCTTGCATCCCTATGTTCTTCCCTGCTGATTGAGAGATGTAACGGTTAGAGTTTATAACAAAGATGAACATGGCTGAGATGGAAACATTTCCAGGATACAGTAAATCCATTAGTGTGACTTTATGCATTTAATCATATTTTTCAAGGCGCACAAACACATATGTTTTAATATTGGAGAAGATAAAGCATAGTAAAAGTCTAGGAACATAGCAGTTCACTTTTAAAGTTCCTTTAAAGCAAGTTAATTTTGCTGCAAATCCCCAGGCGTTGCATAATCTGTGGTGAACTCTCTCTTAAAAAGACAAAGTAAATCATTCAGTCATGATGCTCACATTCCACAAAATTGCAGAGCTTATCTCATAAGTACTACTGGAAAGGCACAAATGGTTTATGGAAGTTGTAGCTCAAATTTCAAATGCTTGTTTTTTTAAGGTTAAAACTAAGCTACTTTTTGGATCATTAATACATTGCTAAACACAAATACACACACCAGTCAAGTCATAGCTTTTCCCACAGAAATCTCACTTAAGCTGAGTTGTGTTTCAAAGCTGTTGTATACAGCAGACACATATTCCAAGAAATCCATGTATAAAGTGGAATTATGAGGCAAAAATGTGGTTCTTTGCTGAGTTCATTTGCATACGCCTACCCAGAATCCCTTGCAGTAGTGAGAGCACTGCTAAAGTGAGATTTCTGTGGGAAAAGCAAGTCTTATGGCTTGACTGGTGTGTGTATTTGTGTTTAGCAATGTATTAACTATCCACTTACTTCAGGTGGAAGGGGTTTTCACCCACGCTTTTTTCCCCACCACATCAATACATACAGTACCTCAAATTGCAAAACAAATATTCAATTATAAAACTTTTATCTCAATACTAGATAAGAAGCAATAAAAACAGACTATCTATATATTACATCAATACATACAGTATCTCAAATTGCATTCCATATATTCA